CCCAGCCATATACCCCTCCCCCTTCTCCCCACCCTGGTGTCCTCTTTTTTGCTCCTGGAAATATGCTAACTCTAATCTACATCACATTTTGGCAGCATTTGGCATGCAGAGCAAGAATGGGCATGATATGTTTCACAGTGGTACTTCTGAGCACAGCATAGAAGCAGTGTGGATGAGGTAAAATAATCTGGGAGTACTTCTCAGGAAATAGCACCTCTTTCCCTAATGTTGCCAGAATAACTGGAATCATATATTTTCCTGCATAGCAATTTCCTAACTACACATAATAAATGCTTTAATGCACTTGAAAGTATGTGATGCTGCATGCACTTAGGGACCTCCTCCTCCTGGGGTAAATTGGATTTATTTTTGTAATTTTGTGTAATTGGTCCTGGTTTCATAGAATCAAAATGGATACGTTCACTTGTGTAGTACTACTTCAGCAGAGGCTAAATTAATTTATTTTAATTGCCTATTTTAAAATTGGGTAAAGACATTAAAACAAAAAAACAAAAAACCCTTGACTCATTCCTCAGTCTTCTGCCCTTTCTCATGCATTCAAGATGTAATTTCCTTTTTAAATTTAATTTAGAATATTTTTGGTTTTTTCACATTAATTTCCTTAGCAGTTTACTCTTTTAACTAGCACTCAATGTTTATTTGGCTTGTTTCGCTCTAATGAAATAATACTGGAAATACTTTTGTGTTCTGTATTGGCCTTAAAAATACGTGGAACACAATTCGGAGACTTCTAGGCAAAAGATGTAAATTTAGTTCTTGATCCCTTGTAACTTTATTGGGTTCTGTATATGCTAAGAATTTTGAAAACTGGAATCCATGACTTCTGCAGTGTGGAGCAGAAGAATAATTTTGTGTTTAATTCCCCTTACCCAGTTGCCTTATTGAATCTTTATTGCAGAGCTTTTCTCACAAATCTTTTGTGAGATGCTACATTAATTTTCATATCGTAGCTTAATCTATAGACATGAATTGGTTGGTTGGTTGGTTGGTTTTTTTACAGCACTCAATGATTTGTAAGGTACTGTTGAGAAGCATATGGAAAATCTTTGTTTTAAAAAGAATATGGTCCAAGGGCACAGAGAGAAGTGACAATTTTCACCTGATCTGGCCACAAAAAGCAATTGGCTGTGACCAAACACAAGTGTATGGCCAATTGGGTGAGAATCAGACCCCTTATGTAACGAGGGGTCAGATGAAGATGTTTCAAAACAGAGTGTCTTCTGTAACTTCTGTCTGTGCTGCCTGCCATCTATCCTGTTGCTGTTCTTAGAATGGGAGGGGGGAAAGGGAGCAGATTGAATTTTATCTGGGGACTTTTCAGGCCCTGCTGGAGGGTGAGGTGGGTGTAGTGGAACCCCCCTGGGGTAGAGGGACTCCAATACACCCACCCCATCCTTCAGAGTTGGCTGGGGAACCCCTTCTGCTGAATGAACTCCTTCTGCTCCTTTCCCCTGTCCCATTATGAAACAGGGACAGGCCGGGAGAGAGGAAGGGCCATTACTAAGGGAAACCAGTCTCAGGCTGGCAGCCAGCAGCTAGATTCTCCTCCCCACCCTGGAACCAACAGTGAATTTCTGTTTGGACTGGGGGATTCTTGTAACTCAGCACTCTTCCTACAGAGTGTTCTCAGTTACAGCAGGAAGCTACACTTCTGTCTGCACCCCAAATAGACAAAGTAAAATAAAGAGGTACTGTAGCTGACTTTTGTAACTCACGTAACTTTTTTGCAACAATTCTTAATTGTTTAAGCAATTTTCTGATTAAATCTAGAAAAGCTCACTGTGCATATTACTTAAATAAAAGATTTCCTTAGATAACCAACAATCATTTCCAGGTGTTCTCAAGAGCCATCTTCTATATTGTGCAACTCTCAGTCTCCTTTTATATTTTTTAATGTTCTTAGACTAAGTGTCGTTTTAGCAATGATCCCATCTAAACTTCATCTTGGGGTCAGTTTTGTCTTTCACTGTTCTCATATAGAACAGGCATTGGTTCTGGGGCTGTTCAATATCTTCATTAATGATCTGGAAAATGGGATGAATTGTAGGGCTATGAGAAGCTTCAGTCGCTGATCTGAATTAGAGGAGATTCAGCCTGAATCCGAATTGAATCGGGAGACCCATTAATCTCTCTGAATCAATTCGATTCAGAGAGATTTGACAATTTGGCCATAGACACAGCTTTTATATGGTTTTTTCTACGTACCTCAAGGTACCAGGCACAGCTTGTGAATGCTGAGATGGTGGGGTAGATGGAGTGTCCCACGGGAGTGCGGCAGGAGCCCCCTGCACACTTAGCAGCAGCTCCGGAAGTGGACCAGAAGTACTTACAGTCCACTTCTGGATCTGCTGCAGAGTGCATGGGGGACTGCCCTGTCACCTGGCTCAGTGACTGGTATCTCCTGGGTCTGGGGGGCACCTGGGGTCATCCTGTGGCTGATCACTGAGCCAGGGGAGCATGGGGAGGTCGCCTGCATGCGTGGCAGTGGACATGGAAGTGGATCGGAAGTACTTTTGGTCCACTTCCATGTCCACTGCCAAGTGTGTGGAGGACCCCCCCATGCTCCCATGGGACGTTCCATTTGTCCCACCATCTCAGCGTTCACAAGGTACATAGAAAAAACATATAAAGTTATGTCTATGGCTGTATCTCTGATTCTCTGAATCAGAATCAAATCTTCAGAATCGAATCGCTGTCCCCCAAATTGGGCTGAATCCAAATCAAATACTGCCTGCTTCGCACGCCTCTAATGGATTGCATGCTAAGCAAGTTTGCAGGTGACACCAAGCTGGGGGGAGTAGTAGATATGCTGGAGAGTAGGGGTAGGATTCAGAATGACCTAGACAAATTGGAGGATTGGGTCACAAGAAATTTCATGGTGTTCAACAAGGAGAAGTGTAAAGCCAAGAAGGCCAACAGAATACTGGGCTGCGTTAGTAGGAGCATTGCTAGCAGGTCAAGGGAAGTATTTATTCCCCTCTATTCTGCACTGGTGAAGCCACGTCTAGAGTACTGTGTCCCAGTTTTGGCTGGACACGGTATTGGGCTCCCCAGTATAGAAAGGAAGTGGACAAATTGGTGAGAGTCCAGCAGAAAGCAACAAAAATGGTTAAGGGGCTGGGGGACCTGACTTATGATGAGAGGCTGAGGGAACTGGGCTTATTTAGTCTGGAGAAAAGGAGACTGGGGTGGGGGGAATTTAACAGCTGCCTTTAAGTACCTGAAGGGTGGTTCCAAAGAGGGTGAAGCTAGACTGTTTTCAGTGGTGGTGGATAACAGAACAAGGAGCAAGAGTCTCATGTTGCAGCAAGGAAAACTTAGGTTGGGTATTAGAAAAAACTTCCTCACTTTGAGGGTGGTGAAGCACTAGAACAGGTTACCTAGAGAGGTAATGGAATCTCCATCCTTGGGGGTTACTAAGGCCCAGCTTGACAAAGCCCTGGCTGGGATGGTCCTGCTTTGAGTAGGGGGACTAGACGACCTCCTGAGGTCCCTTCCAGCCCTTTGATTCTATGTATATATTGTAATTGTGGTGCACGGAGGGTAATATCAGTGACTGATTTTACTGTTGTGATATGACTAATGTTATGGATTATAACAGTTCTGCACCTTTTAAAAATTTTAGTTTCTGTTGAGCTTATCTTTTTAAAAGAGCAAAATAGCTCATTTCTTTTGTTTTTTTTCTGAGTTAAGTTATTCTGAGATCTTACTTCCATTCCAAACTCATCAAAAATGCTTCTTTATTCTTCCTGCAGGTCATGGCAATCATAAAGAAAATAGTCCATTCCTTAGCAACTCTGAAGCTGGCAAGGGAGGTGATTACTATGACAGAAACCTGGCTTTATTTGAGGTAAAATTTGACTTTGCTTGGCAGACACTTTGGCATGAATATCCATAGTCTTATAGTTATAAAGAATAGGTCCAGAGGTTACTATCTTGATTTTACTTGGGGAAACTGGCTTTCAAAGTTTACTCTGGCAGTAGGTAGAAAAGGAGAGTGAAAGGAGTAGGTAACATTCCAGGTACCATGCTAATGCATTTCATACTGTTACTGCTTTGGTCTCCTTCTTGGAGGTATCTAGTATCAAGAGGCTAAAGATAAGAGGAGTTCACATGTAGAATCTGGACAGGGGTGGATTTGAGATATGGATTATGGAGAGATGGGGAAAAAGTAGTAGATGTGGATGCTGTTTGGCTACAAAATTAACTAAAGGGGAGCCTCAGCCTATTCATCATCATACTGAACGAAAGTGTTTTTCTAATGTTGGCTTACATATACACAGAAACTAACTGCAAATCATTCACTTTCCTGCACTCCCAGAGGTCAGGCTTCTTTTTCTCAGCATTGTATTACTGGAGCCCTGAGATGCAGAAGGTCAGAGTCCCTGCTGTCATTGATGCCAAGTGACCACATCCCCTTCCTAGTAGAGCTGCCATTCCTTCCAAAAACCTTTTAGCAAATCCACAAAGACTTGCATTCTCGGCCTGTGCGAAGCAGCTAATATTTGCTTCAGATTCGGCTGATTTTCGGGGGACAGTGATTCAATTCCGTGATTCAAATCACTGTCCCAGATTGGTTAGGCTGAATCACCCAGGCCCATCCCCTGCCTGCTCTCTTAGCCCCAGTAATGGCTGCCCTGCCTGCCCCAGCTCCCAGCATTTTGGGGAAAAAAAAGCTCCGACTCGCTGAGTGCTCCTGGGTGGGGAGAGGGGGAACAATCCCCACTGCCCCATGCTGTGGGAGGGGGGGCTCTGCACGAGACCTCAACCCTCCCCCTGCACCCCCATTCCCCCCATGGCTGCCTTGCCCACCCCAGCTCCAGCCCTTTAAGAAAAAAATACAAAACCAAAACCTCCCAGACTCACCATTCCTGTCTGGCCGGGAGATGATCTGCACTGCCTCCCCGGTGCCCTGCATCATGTGGGGGGCTCTGCCACGAGCCCTCTGAAGCCCCGAGGCCGCTGCAGGAGTGGTGGGTCCCAGGGTTTTTCTCTCCTTTTTTTCCTTTTCTTTAAAGGGCCAGAACTGGGGCAGGCAAGGCAGCTATGTGGGGGCTGGGGGACTGATGGGGGGAGGGATCACAGGGCTCCTGCAGAGACCCCATGCAGCATGGGACAGTGTGGGGGGGGCATCAGGGATTGCCCCCCCTCCTGGCACCATCCAATGAGTGGGGCTTTTTTTTTTTTTAAAGCACTGGGAGCTTTGGCAGGCAGGGCAGTCGTGGGGGGGCTTGGCAGGGGCTCCCCATGGTCCCCTCCCTCTCCTCCAGCCCCTACTCTCCTTACCAGCTCCAAGGCTGGCTGCAGCTCCCTGCTGCAGCTATTGGGGACTGTCCAAATCATTGAAGCTCTCTGAATTTTTTCTGAAGATTCAGAGAGCTTCAAATTGTTTCGGACCCTTAATTGGTCCAGTGATTCAATTCTGATTTGGAGATTCGGCCACCAAATCGGGCTGAATTTCCTCCAAATCAAATCAGCACCTGGAGCTTTGCACAGTCCTATTACATTCCATCTGTTCCATTGCTGTCTCCTTTGGTGTGCTTCCCAGCATCTCCAGTCCTGGCCACGCCAAGGCACAACGTGACATGCTCCATTTTTCTTAAAACATTTTGGCTTGCAGAAATATATGAGCAATTTTCCTCTACAGGAAGAATTGGATATACGACCAAAAGTATCTTCTCTGCTTGGCAAGTTGGTCAGCTACACAAATCTTACTCAGGGAGCCAAGGAACATGAAGAGGCAGAAAGTGCTGAAGGCTCAAGGAGGAAAATATCAAAAGTAAGTAGAGCTTCTCTCGATGGCCAGTAGGCTCTTATGCATTTTGATATTTTTTTTTTTTTTATTGCTAGGAGAACCTTTCTGAATGAGGACCTAATCCTGTTCTCACTGAAGAATTATATTGATTTCAGTGGGAGCAGGGCAGAATCCCAAGTGAACACTGTGCCAATAAGAGTTACCTGTAATATATTGATTCTGGATAGGCTGCTGCCCTTAGAAAATTAGAGGTGAAGTTATCCATAAGCACTGTAGTCACCCTAGTGCAGAATGTTTCTGATAGTATTATTCTCTGGAACTTTGATAGAGTAGGTCAGGGTGAATAATTTAATTTTCAAAATTGGGCAAGTCTCTAGTATGTAGTACCATACCATATTTACCTGAATCCAAGACTACTTTGAATTTAAGACAACCCCATAGTCATTAGATTCTAGGCATGAAAATTACAAAATTGTTTCAGTTTTTCACATCCAGAATCTAGTTATAGGAGGGTCCTCTTAAAGTTACCCCTCCTCCCCACACCTTTTTCCCCACAGGGAAAGCAGTGGCTGGGAAGCAGATAGCCTGCCCCACTGCCACCTATCCTCCCTCTGGTGCCTCCCCTGACCCTGCTTATCCTTGCAGCTGCTCTGGCTCTATCTCCCACAGAGAGATGGAGCACTTGGGCAGGCCAGTAGCTAATTCTAGCCTCCACCCTCAGTCAGGGGCAGGGCTAGAGCCACAGCACCTCACTCTGCTGCTTTGTGCACCCCTTCTCTGCACTCCCCCTGCTCTATGTCCCTTTTTCCGTGCTCCCCCTGCACTGTGTGTCCCTTCCCCCTGCTCCGTCTGCTCTCTGCATCCCTCTCTGAGCCCCATCCCTGCATGCCATGCTTCCCTTCCCTCGTGCTCTTCCCAGTACTGTGGGCCATGTCCTCTGCACTCCTCTACCAATATCATGCTCCCTTTCCCTGTGCTATCCCCATTGCACTCCTTGCCCCTTCCCTGAACTTTTCCTAGCACTATGCACCCCTTTTCCTTGTGCTCTCGCTGCTCCACACACCCCCTACCTGAGCCATCCTGGCCCCTTCTGGAGCTGCAGCAGCTGCTTGCCTCACTTGTACTCAGATCTAAGAGTGGCAGCCTGCTGACACCCCGCACACAGATTGGATAGCCACGCCTTTTGAAACATTTTGAGTGCCCTCATTTCATTTCAAAGCTGTTTCAAAGCCTTTCATTTAGATTTTGCTGTTTCAAGCTCCAAACACATCAAAACAGCTTTGAAACAAAACACCTGTTGAAATTAATGGCTCCTTTATCCTCTAGGAGTTGCAGGTGCTCAACAGCTTTGAAAACCAGATCACAATACTGCAACAAGTAAAATCAGCATGTTACACTTGAAGGTCTTGCCAGTTTTCAGGCTTTCACGAGAAAGTTCATGAGAAAGTTTTAAGTAAACAGCCATGGACTTTGAAGTGCACAGATTTATTTTCACATCTTGTTGCCATGTGTTGTTGTTAAATGTACATAAATCTTGAACCATCAAGACAAGAGGCAGAGTTCATAATAATGAAAACTAGGAAATGAATTTCAAAGGCAACCCCTCTAACCATATGACATAGTCCTGGTCCAGCATCTTTATCCTGTGTGTTATCCTTCTGGAATCTGATTCACACAGTAAGCAAAATAGCAGTAAACAAACTAATGTGTTTTAAACATCAGTTTTATCTAGGACCACAAGTGTTAAAATGCCTTAATAGTGTGGCTTTTATAGTGTCATTACAAAGCTGAGTTAAGGTTGCTTAAGGCATTTTGAGAGTGTAAGTTGTTTTTAGTTTTTTTTTAGCTCTGGTTATAGATTGTGTGTCCTAATTGGTTTTCCAATAGTAACAAAATTTTGCCATGTTTTTAACTTCAATTACTGATATATATAATCTCACATACAATTTGCTTTAACATAGTCTCTTGTTTGGGGACAATTAATGTTGGGCATGAGCTGTTAATTATGGCATTGCATCATTTCAGATAGTTATTCAGTCAGTTCTTAAAAATTAAGCAGGAAAAAATATCCAAACAAAAGCAAAGTGTAGGCATGTATGACAGCTTCAATCTTTAGCACTTGCAATGATTTTAACAGTGCCTGTTACTGTTGAATGACTGGTTGTCCAAAATACCACAGCAGGATGCCACTTAATCAATCTGAAAGCTAGTAATTTATTTTCCCCTTTTAGAAAGAATACAGAGAATTTCATGGCTGGGCTGCAGATCACTGCTGACCCAACACAGTCCAGCTTTACTAAGGAATGAGTTAGGCCAGGGGTCAGCAACATTTTTCAGCAGAGTGCCAAAAACACCCAGAACCTCAATTTGTAAGAAGTTGGCCTGCCAGGGGCAGATGGCTGGGGAACCACCAACAGCTTTATCCTTCTGGCAGCACAGCCTTGGCTCCTTCCCCACCATCCACCTCAAGGCACACATGCCAAGCAAAATTCCCTTGCATGCTACACTCTGGGACATGTGCGGGGGGTTGTCTACACCTGGGTTAAGCAGTGATGGGGAAACTGATAAGTGGCTGTTAATCCCCAGTGGAATAGTTTATGAAATTAAGTGGTTTTAATATTTTCATTACATTGTGTAATGAAATGCACTTATAATGAAATTATATGTAGTGAAGCTTCATGTTAAAGAGAGTAAATTTCTGTTCCATTGTAGGCTACATAGTACTGGGTTGTTGACATCATCTACCAGAGCTTGACATGGTTGAAACCTACTTCTGTGTGAATGTGCAGATGGGACTGAGCTCTGGTTTTTTCCCATGTCCTTGCATTTATCTTTAACAGATGTCTGACCTATGGAGTAAACACATGTTTTTGTAGCATAGATCTTAGTTAATGTTTCCAGCAGTATTGCCACCATCATCCCTTTTCTCTAGGGTTAAAGAACATTAATGTTGTGAGAGTGTGTAGTGTTTAGACACCTTGATGAATATAAAACCTTATACTGAAATAATACTTCTCATATCACAAAACTGAGTGCAAAATTATGAGCAAGAACAACAGTGCAATGCATGAAGAGCTCCTAGAAGCTGTGGAAATGGTATTCTTCTTGTGGCTTTTATCTGAAAACAAAAAAATCCCAGTATCATTCTTTTTGAAGTATACACTGATACACTCCTGAAGTTCCACCTTCCCGCCCCCAACACACACATTGTGTCGCACCAAAACTATCACAGAACTGTGAACATCCCCTTTTTTATTAAATGGTAACATAGTGAACAGATTATTTGCTGATTTAATATAACAGATATATTCTGCAACATATTAAACTAATGTGACTGAAATTATTTGTCTGATTCACAAATAATTTGAATGGACATTCTATAGGAAACAGTTAGAGCAAAGAGGTGGTTTGGACTCTGCAAACTCGTACTGTCTTGCTTCCTAAAGTCTCTGCAGCTCTAGAGTAGGTACATGTTGCTGCAATGAATTTGGTGGTCCAGTTTATACACCAGCTCCTACATATACTGCCTATCAGCATATTGATCAGTGGATCTAGCATGTTAAATTGCATGAATTCTGTGACCTGTTCTATAAACTATGGCTTTCTGTGAAGAGAAGACAGGTTCCTCAGTTACTTCCTCACCTTGACATTGATGTTTCCTTGTTCACTTTAGCTCCTCTCATCATGTTAGCAGTTTGAGAAAGCAGAGTTATTCTCACAATGACTGCTGATTTTAAAATTGCAGAAATCAAAGGGAGGGCAAGTGCAAATGTTAAGACTTGCAAGTGGCAGACATGAAAAGATAATTTGAGAGTTCTTTCTTCCTAATTGACTAGTGCTACCTCCTGCTTTCTGAATTGCAAAGACAGGAAGAGACTTGGAAACTTCTTACTAAGAGTGTGAAAAATGCTAACACAATCTCCTTTAAAAAAGACTAGGACTACGGAAAACTCTCACCGACTTTGTGGGAAGTCCCATAACATGACAGGCAAATTTCAGAAGAAACTGTGTTTTTAATATAACTATTTTACCTTGCTTCACTAGTAGAATAAACATTATGCAATTCAATGATATATTAGAAACCACTGTCATTCATGATAAGTTTATTAGTCATTACAGATGCTCCTCTTTGCATTTAAGAGAACAAGGATTTTGTTTTCTCTCTTCTTAGGTTAATGAATACCATCTGTGGTAGAGCACTGGAATAGTTACAGTGCTTCAAAAATAATAAAGACCTTCTTCCCCATAGTGGGAATTTAGATTAAATACTTGAACTTCTGTAGCTTCAACTGGCTGTTCAGCTCTATGCAAATATGTATGGTTATGGCATTCGGGGTGTCTCTATAGAAGCACCAGGTATCAATTTCCTTTAAGCCTGCAGCCAGTTGCTTTGAAAAACAATAATACTGGTATAAAGCAACTAGTATTCTTCAGACTCAGATCCGTAGTTTGCATCAGTTACACATCTGAAGCTGATCAGAGGTAATACTACACATGCAAAATAAAAAGGGAGCTGCATCACTGCAACCTAACTAATTTCAGAGAAAGGGTTTTTACTTTTTGACAATTGATCAAAACCATTAGCTATAGTTAGCATGTCCTATTAAAATATCTTATAACCTTGGAGTAATCTTTACTATGAAGAGCTTAAGTTGCTTTTTTTTTTTTTCCATTTGGGAAATCACAAGATTATGTGCACTTCCGTCATAACTTTGGATTACCTTCTATTGATATGTCAACACTAATTTCATTTTCTCATTTACTCTAGTAAAGTTTGTTGATATAAAATGCTATAAAGAAGGAGAAAATCACTGCAAGCCACTAACATAAATGTTAACAAGTTGGTGCAATCATATCCTGCTTTTTTTTCCTTTGGCAGCGTTTTCCTGCATTGGGTAAAAAAAATCCCAGAGTGATTGATTATGTCTGAAGTTTACTTAGTAAGGCTGTAACTTAGATCTGTTTCTTAGCACACATGGTAGCATCTCTTAAATTGCTTTGCTTTTGCATTGTAGACTTCATGA